GTGCGCCAGCTGCGTGTGGAAGACCAGTTTGGGCCGCAGGTTGGCAGGTGGCGCCGGGAGCCCCGCTCCATTCACCGCGGATTTACTCAAGCTCCCCGCACCTGTGTGCCCGCCGCTGACAACTTCGTTTTCCACCAAATGCTCCTTTGTTGACTTGTTTTTCTTCTTCCATGGTCCCAACGGCATTTTTTTTCTTATTTCGGGTTATCTTTTTCGATGTGGGATGAAAAAATCCGAGCCTCTGCTATAACATTGAAGTAGCTAACCTGTTGAGTTCGTGTTCTCCTTTATTTGCTTCCTCCTTCCCTAAAAGCCTTTCTTCATTCCTTCCACCACTCTTCCTCTCCTCAGCTGGCCACTTCTTTAACTTTGTTCTTCGATAGCGACTCGGCCCTCGCTTGCAAATAAACCGTGTAAATATTCAACAGGTAGGGGGGTGAGTTGGATAAGCCCTGATACAACCTGCCGCCGCTGCCCGGTCCTCGGCTAACAATAGCTGCTCTGTATGCCTATCAGCATGCCCTGGGACGCAGGCGCAGTGGGACGAACCAGGGCTCAAGAGGGAGGGAAGGATCCCTGGTGCACCTGTACGGCAGCACAGGGAGGAGCGTCACTTTTTTCAATTATTCAGCCTTTACCAAGACTTTACTCAAACCAAAACAGTAAGTCTAATACTAAAACTTTCCAAACGTGCCCAAATATGACTGAAACCCCGCTCTAAATGTGCGTTTTTGTCACATTTTCTCAGAGAAATATGTTTAAAGGTAGCATTACTTTGTCACAGAGGAACTGTAAAAAAGGAGGGAACCATTACTTTAATCATGAGGGCAATCACGTGATTTTTCTTGTTTAGAAAATGCCAATATTTATACACAAAAAAAGCAACGTGCCAAATTTAGCAAGTAATCATGTTATTATTACAGCTCCTACCTGACGGCACAATGAAGCTGACCTCTAGTGGAGGTCCCCTGGAGGTTTATCCAGTGTCTTTATGTTGGATGAATTCGAAATCAAAAATAGCGTGTTTTAGTATTATTTTCTGACATTGTCTTCAAATGTTGTATTTTCCTAACTTTTCTACTGACGACAGTACAGGATAGAATAAAAACAGGCTTTATGTCCAGTGTTGTTGATGTCATGATATTACAGTGCACTCACATAAAGGCTGTTCTGTCAGTAAAAGCCTAATAAGACTTTCGTTGAAGATGCAGAGGTAATTTCATGACACAAATCAGTGATGCAGATTTAAAAGACACTAACTGAAATACAGCAAAAGTTCAAACTGTTAACCTGATGATGCAGGGACACTGTTGTGACTTAAAAAGTGTCTGCTTGTTTTTATTTGCTCTCTAAATAGCGAAAAAGGTAATGTTTGCTCATTTTAAGTATTTCTCTGAATGTAATCATCTGCAACGAGTTGGAGTATTAGCAGCGTTTTCAGTTTTGCTTTGTTTCTTTGGACTTTTTTTAAGCCCCTGACACTGAACATCCACTTCTAGAGTTTCAAAGTGACACGGACTGTACCACACTATTATTTTCTGTGGAAAGCTCACTGCTACCAAGGTCAATGCTCTCCAGATGGTGGTTACACTAAGAGCTGAAGGTTTTACATTTTGCTTTGTGAAGCAAAACAGTGTGTTTACATTTGCATGTAATGTGGAGAAAAATGTCCTTCAGTGGTCACACAACACAGGACAATACACTAAAGAGAAGAAACTAAAACTCTACACAACGTTTTACAGAGAAATCCAGGTTTATGTTTCTTGCATATTGTTTCTGTGATAAGTATTTGTTGCTTCTTTATCTTATGTTAGTATTTATTATTAATTATTTGTATTTTTCTTTTTTTATTTAATTTCTGAGCACTTACTTTTATATTACAATAGAATATACAGTTTTAACTGACGGTTTCATTTATTAAAGGAAAAAAAGATATCCAAATCTACCTGACCCTGTGTGAAAAAGCAATTGTCCCTGAACCTAGAACTGGAAACAAGAGTTTGCAATAACTGATAATGAGTCTTTCACATCTCTGGAGGAATTTTGGCCAACTCTCCTTTGCAGAATTGTTTTAATTCAGCCCCATTATAGCGTTTTCAAGCCTGATCAAGGCCTACATTTTGGCTTCAGGGCACAAACGGATGCTGACATCTATCATTTTGGAAAAGGTCACCAAACCAAGGAGGTCACAAAAGAACCCAGAACAACATCTGAAGACCTGAAGGCCTCACTTGCCTACAGGTCAGAGTTCATGATACAACAATAAGAATAAGACTGGGCAAAAATGGCATCCATGGAAGAGTTTCAAAGCAGAAATCACTGCTGACCAAAGATAACACAAAAGGCTCGTCTCATATTTACTAGAGATGGACCAATCCGATATTACGTATCGGTCCGATACTGACGTAAATTACTGGATCGGATATCGGAGAGAAATAAGAAATGTAATCGATCCATTAAATATCAAAAAAGCACCTCACAAAACTTGCGACATGGCGTAACTCGGCTCATAACCGTAGCACGTCGGAGCAGTGTGCTCACGTGATAGAGCGGCTGTGTGTATTTGTAGCCTCGCTACCAAACCGGCATTTCATCTCCGAGGAAGTGATACCAGAGAGAAGTAAAGCAAGTGTGTAAGTTCATCTCTGAATGTTTATAAAGCATTCCAGCGTTAAGCTTAACAACAGATATATGGAGCGAGTGCCTCTCCCCCTCCCACTCCTGCTGCTACTTCAATCATGAAACTGATTAATGATCAGCTGATCGGCTTTTCTGTGGCGAGTCTTGTTTGTTTATCGCCCACTTTGCACTAGAAAGAGGAAACCAGCGGCTGAACAACAGCAGCACGTTTAAGCTTGATAATCTGTTGTTAGAATGTATTTAATATTACTTTCTACACCAGGATCTTTTTCTACATAGCTGACAGCTGGTAACTGTGCAGGGGCGGATTTAGCAAAGTTTAGCCAGGGGGGCCGATAGGGCATTAACAGGGAAAAGGGGGCACAAAGACATACTTTTCTTTCTTATTCTCATTTAAAATGTCGAGCTTTTAATAAATAATTATCTGAATCTTACACCCAAAGTTTTAATCTGATGTAAAATGTATAGAAGTCCATTACTGCTAGTGTTGTTTATTTAAACTTGAGTATGAACTTATACAAAATGCAGCAAGATATTAAAAAAACAGTTTTATTGATTAAAAAACACACTATATCGGATTCATATCGGTATCGGCAGATATCCAAATTTATGATATCGGTATCGGTATCGGACATAAAAAAGCGGTATCGTGCCATCTCTAATATTTACCATCCATCCATCCATCCATTCGCTTCTGCTTATCCTTTTCAGGGTCGCGGGGGGCGCTGGAGCCTATCCCAGCTGTCATAGGGCGAGAGGCGGGGTACACCCTGGACAGGTCGCCAGTCTGTCACAGGGCCAACACACAGGGACAGACAACCATTCACACTCACATTCATTCACACATTCACACCTAGTGGCAATTTTGGATTTTCCAATTAACCTATCTCCCTAATTTACCAAAAAAAAAAAAATCTTGATGATCCTTAAGACTTTTGGGAAAACACTGTGGACTGACAAGACAAAAGCTGAACGTTTTAGAAGCGTTGGGTCTCATTACATCTGGTATAATGCTAATGCAGTGTTTCATACAAAGAACATCGCACCAACAGTCAGACATGGTGGTGGTAGGGTGATGGTCGGGGGCTGCTCTGCTGCCTCAGGACCTGAATGACTTCTTGTAAATGATGGAACCACAAATGCTGCCCTCTACTGGAAAATCCTCAAAGAGAATGTCCAACCATCAGTTTGTGCCCTAAAGCTCAAGCAGACTTGCACTAGGACAATGATCTGAAACTCGAAGGCTGTTCATGCTTGAAACCCCCCCCCCCCGCGTGGCTGAATTACAACAAATTCTGCAAAGAAGAAATTTCTCCAGAGTGACGTGAAGGTTTTGCCAGTTACTACAAACGCAAGACTGCAGTTCTTGTTGCCAAGGGTGGCACAACCAGTTATCAGGTGTAGTGGGGGACTACTTCTTCACACAGGGCCACGTGGGTTAGGATAACTTTGTTTAATCTTGAAAACTGAAATCATCAATTAGATATGTTTCATTTGGTCTGGTTATCTTTGTATAATATTAACATTTGTAAGTGTGAAAAATATGCAAAAAAAGAAAAAAAAGAAAAAAGAAATCACTTTTTCACACCACTGTATTGTGTTTTCCTTCCTTTGCTGCAGCACCACATTTCCTTTTCCTCTTCCACTGGCAGCCTGTTGCCCCTATAAATGTTTGTCTAAGCAGCTCCTTCAGGGTGTAACTCTGTTGCACTGAAGCTCTAAAATATGTTTTAGGTGTACAGACTTATACAGTCAATAACTGTTCAAGTTGTAAAAACTGTACCTATGTTTCCTAAAATATGTCCAAGTGATAACAAAGATGGAGACGTGCTCTTTCTATTGTCCATAAAAACCCGAAATCTTCAAAGGATTTCATAAATTATTTTGAAAACGTAAACTGAGCAAAAAAAACCTGAGAAAATTGTGAATATTTATGTTACAATACGCACATTTATGACTGAACCATGCAGAGGCTTGTCACATTTTAACTATTTGAGGAACAATCCTGCATTTGGTGACTTACACAATTAAATAATCTTCACATAGTTTCGGGATTTAAGTTATTCATAGCATCTATTTTGACCAGATACACCAAATAGCACTGATAATTGTTCGTGTGGACATTTGCACTTAGCCACTTGCCTAAACCTGATACATTTGCAAGTGCAAACAACAAGAAAAGACAAATGCTCTTTTTGTTGTGCGCAAATAACAAAACATTTTAAGAATTTCACATATTGTTTTGACAATTTCAACTGTCATCCAAGGACTGAGCCAAAGAAGCTGAGAAAAACTGCAGCAAGTGTGACACGGCCATCAGCGTGTTGCTTATAAGTCATCAATAACATGTTACTTGAAGGCTGAGCGTGAAGCACGTATCTGTTTAAACTGCTCCTCGGGTGTACAGACGCTGGGGGAACTATTTGATGAATAAATAATTATGAGGATGAAGTTGCTGTTTGAATGCTCCTCTTTAAAACAGGCTTTGAAGAATCAATTTAAATGCTGATAATGAAAAAGTAAAGACCTTTGTAAATCAGTCGTACTTGTTAGTAATCGAATCTGCGCATGCTTAAAGGGACTAAATATTGATTTATGAATTTTAATCCATAGCTTAAATATTTAATGATGAGTCTTTCACTGCACTTTGGATAAAAATGCAACATTAAACAACATAAAATGGGAAACTGTGGTTGGTAAAAGCTCCAGGAGACATCATTTCAGGTTTACACCGTGACCTTTAACTTAGAGGCCATACTTTTACTCACATAATGCTCACAGATACTAGATTGAAAAATCCAAATGCCAATTTCTAGTCAGAGTTACGGCGATTTTGAACGGAGAGGATCGGCAGCTGGTGCGCTCCCACACTATCCAGAGCATGTGTGTTTACTCTCCACTCTCTGTGCATGATAGTGACGCATCATCTGCATGAATCTCTACACATGCTGATGGACAATTTAAGATGGATGGACGGATCAAGTTATGTAAAAAGAAAGTACAACCTTATTCAAAATTCAAGCTTTTATATGTCAGAACGTGACAAAAATCAGTCGTTCCTTAGCAAAGCTTAAAGTTGTGGAAATACAAGCCTGGATGAACAACATTGACATATTACACCGTGTCATTAATCATTTAATAAAAACTGAGGAAAAATGCAGAAGCAGTGTGTGCAAAACGAACTATCGTCTTACTGCTTCCATAGGAATTAAGAGGGTAACTAGCACTAAATGCATCTGATCAATTCAATCAGTATCTGTGACAAAGCTGAAGTTTTGGCAGTTTTCACGTGTGCATTAACACAATGCCAAGGAGGAAAGATACCTGCAGTAATTTTAGAGAAGCAACTGTTGTTACTTATCACTCTGGGTAAGTCATTCCCCCAAATTCTAAGTTCATCATAGTCTTCATCATTCACTGCTTCTATGTGTAGATAGATAGATAATTATAGTTTAATAGCAGGATATTATTATCTGCCAACACAGCCAGTTTGAGGTTTTTTTTATATGTCTATTTATTGTTATGCTCTTCTGAACTCCTGATATTACCCACACCAGTAAAAGTAGCACTGAAACAGACACTAAACTCACTGAGTTAAAATCAATAAAAATCACTGATGTAAAACTAAATAAAAATGGGAAATTTAGTGAAAATGACTAAACAGCAGTAAATCTGGCGCTAACACAGGCCATCCTCACTGTGGGCCCCTGAGTCATAAAGATGTGGCGTCCCCTGGTGGGAAAATGTCAGCTCTCCTGCATGCGTCAGCAGCAGGGGAGCTAACAGACAGCTATAATTACACATTCATATTTGTGCTGTGAGTAACTTTACACATTAACTTCAGTCAAGGTATTTTTAATTTTAATTTCGCACATCAGAAACATTTTTTACAACAGCAAATTATTCACATTTGACTATCAAAATATAGGTTCATTTCATTCCCCCCTGGGCTGCAAAGAACCCATGTTGTGTAATAATAATGCTACACAGACTATAAATAATCCTAAGCGGTATTAACTTTTTTTTTGTCTTTTTAAAGCGATGACTGTTTATATCCCGGAGGAGGACGCGTCTCTGAGCCTCTCCGTGGCTGAAACAGCTCGAGTCAGTTTGTGTGTAAATATTTATTTTAAAATTCAAGTCAAGGTATTTTCACAGGTAAGTTTCTAAAATGCACACATTGCACCTGCTGAGTTCATTCGACCACCTCCAAAGAACCTCCAAATCAAAGTTCACTGCTCGCGGCAAAGCAAACGTGAAGCCTGACGAGTCTAAAGTAAGACAACGAGCTGTTTGACACTAGAGTTTGTTTTTTTGCTTTTGCAGCTGTAGAATCATTCACACCAAAACATTTCCAACTAACGAAAAAGTGGCAAAGGCCCACAAACATGAAATGTGCACGTTCAGATATCGCTCGCACTTGTATCAACTTGGCAGCATGCATGGCATTTATAAAAACACCACAGAGCTCAAAAATAGAAATTGCACATTCGCCATTTGGGAAGGGGGGGTCCATCTGTGAACTGTCAGAACTGTCCTTGTGCATGTGTGTGTGTAAGTGTGTGTGTGTAAGTATGTGTGTGTCATGTGGCTCTGTCTCCCTCGTTTATTTCTTCCTAAGCAGGTAAATGCCGTTTCAGGACATCTCTGGCGTTTGTCGGCAAAGACTCGGGAAAGTTCACATCAAACTCCACCACCAGGTCTCCTCTCTGCTCGGGGTTTTTGGGGAACGGGAGACCCTGTCCGGCTACAGTTTTTCTCATGCCGGGCTTGACGACGTCCGTGATCTTCATGTTGCACGTCTTGCCGTCTATCGTCGACACGGTGACGGAGCATCCGCACAGCGACTGTGAAGACAAGAATATGAGTGTAAGGTGAGGATCGGCGGGAGAACAGCAACCCACACATTGACGACTGCAAAAACGGCAGAAATAACACAGCAATCTGCTCACCGGCTATGTCGGTGCATCATCTATGGTTCCTTTTATCATTATTTTATTATTATTAAAGGTTTTCTCTTCCTTTGTCCCACTTTCAGTTTCCTTCTTACTTTATTCTACAGGTTTGATCCTCGTGCGTTTGTTCTTCTCTGCTCTGTTGTTTTCCCACCCTGCTTGTTGTGTGATTGTGTTCACCCGTTTCTTATTACCCTTCCCTGCTTGTGTGTAGTTAATCCCTGTGTTTCCTTTGGCTGGATCTCTACAGTTTCAGGATTTATCTTATTTGCCCATCTGATATGTTTTTCCTGCTATCAGTGCCAGCAATAATTACGGTTTCCCCTTAATTCCCCTTAAGTCCAAAATGGTTTCCTCTCTGTGTTTGAATCTTTTCTGCAGACTAAACCAGAGGCATGAGATACATGCAAATATTCACAGTATAGGTCAGTGGAAAAACATAATTACACAACAAATGTCAAAATATGTGTTCATGCCTTTGTTATGCAAGTTAAAAAGTAAAAGAAAAAGCAATTTAACTGCAGCTTTATCTAATCAGATAAAGCCGTGCTTACTTTGCGATACATGCGTAGAATCTGACATTACACTAGAGCTATTAATCAAATACTTTACCGTTCTTTCTAATCTAACTCAAAACATGAGCGTAGGTGGATCGAGAGAGAGATTCTGCAACCAAAGCTGCACAAAAGCAGACAAAAAGAGCAAATACACCCAGAGTGAAAAGAGATGAGCTGATAAACAAAAGCTCCTCAAGTCTAACATCTGCTACCAGTACAATGTGACCATATTAACTAAACTGTATATTTTTTTAACATGATATCAACTTAATATTTTCGAGTGTTTGTTTTGGAGCCTCGAGCTGATGCCATCTTAGCGTTGAAGCTGGGTGTGACCGGCAGCAGCTTTTCAAACCTAAAGTATCCTCAGCTTGGTTTTCCTTCCTGACACTAACGAGGAGCATAACTGACAAAACAAACAACATGTTGCATTCAATGTGAGATGCAACTTGAAACTGAGAACATAAGCTTACCAGGAAACTGTTCAAAGAGATCATGAATCAAGTAAGATGAAGGATCATTTCCCCACAGATTTTTATACAGCCTGACTTCTTTCATTGCAACTAGAGGAGTCTCCCCCTGCTGGTCATCAGCAAGAATGCAGGTTTAAGGCACTATAGCATATTATCCGAGCTAGAAGCTACATCTGTCTTTTAGATTTCTGATTAATCTTCAACAGACTTTAAAATTTAGTTTAATTCTGCTTCCACAAAACAATCTTAAAGGCTATTTTCAGAGCCCTGAACCACTTGAACTCTCCGGATTAGTCTTCATCAAGAGAAGGAAGTTTGATCAGCATCAAGTGATTACAGGTGGTCATAATTTCCATGTTGAAAGACTAAATGGCTTCAGGTATCATTCTGTCTGTGTGCTTTTTTATTTTTAATTGGGTCATAGTTGCCCACATTTTCTTCTTAACAAGAGTCTCATTGTGATTGGAAACTGATTGAAAGGCAGCTTAATTATAGCATGCACAGCTGATCTGCTGGTAGTGGTCATAAATTCAGAGATGTGGAGGTTATATCTCTCACTGTGTGCTGAGGGGGAGGAACCACATAAGTAAGTACATCTTGCACCGTGTGCACGTGGGTGGCCGTCGCCTCTCCGCTCTCCCTGCGATACAGCTCCTACTTCTCTGCGCCGATGATCCAGATTACATAAGTGTGCATTCAAGGTGTGTGTGTGAGTTTGGTCTGGTACTATACTCATTCATTTAAGCCCGTGCTTTCCAGGGAAACAGCTGAAGCAGAGTACCTACAGTTTATTGATTGTGACCAGTGTTTAAGCTGCAGAGCATTAAAAGCTGCACTCACATCTAAATATGAACTTGTTCTGTGTGTGACTTATTCATCTATCAGACTCTATTAATACCTCTACACTCAGACAAAGCAGGTGCCAAAATAGAAAAGGCCTCACCTGTCGTAAGCTCACACGCACTGGATACACAATGTTGGAGCCCTCCCGCCTAAAGTGGGGGTGTGGTTTGTCCTTGATGACGAAAACAATGTCAGCGGGAATAGTATTTGGAGACTCGTCTCCCTCCCGGGGGAACGTGATCTTGGTTCCCTCCTTCCAGCCCCGCTTAATCTCGATAGTGAGAATCTTATCCTCAGTGCGCATGGTCCTGCCATCTGGATTTAGCCTTTTGCGGGAGATTTTCATCCTCTTGGTGCAGCCGTGGAACACCTCCTCCAGGGTGACCCTCAGTTCGTGGATGATGGGTGGGTCCTGCTTCCGCCGCTGCTGCCCCCCGAGGCCCACGTGGCCGTCACGGGGGAAGCCGTTCAGGTTGAAGCTGGTGAAGGAGCCGAAGGGGTCGTTTCCGTCCACCTCCATGTCCTCGTCGTCTCGCCCGTTCGCTTTACGTCCGAAGAACATCTCGAAGGGGTTGGAGCCTCCGAAGAAAGTGGCGAAGGTGGCGTGAGGGTCTCCATGGAAGGTGTAGGTGAAAGTGGTGCCTTGTCCGTCACCAGCGGGCCCACTTCCTCCCTTGAGACCTTTTGGGCAACAGAAATGATTAATGACATGAGCGCTCAGCTCAGCGAGAGCACTTACAGCATGACTGATAAACTCTGACTTCAAAGTACAGCCCAGTTTATCAGAGTTCTGCTGAATGATCTTAGAGCTAAAACATCAAACCACGATGGTCCCAGTTTCTTTATTTCACAGTTTACATCATTCTTGAGTGAGTACTGTGGTTTTTAAGTGTTAAAATACCACATTACCTCAGAGATTACCTACATCTTATTAATGATGTTCCTCAACCATCATTCCAAAATAAAACAGAAAAATATGGGAGTAAAGAAAGTTTTCCTTAAGGGAAAAACTTTGGGACATCAGATGAGGGAGGGGAAAGTGACAGAGAGACTCCCTGTTCTCAAACACCTCTTCCAGTTCTTCTGGTGAGAAATTCCCAAGCCAGCTGAGAGAGCATTTCCTGGATCTGCCCCTGGGCCTCCTCTCAGCAGGACCTCACCGGGGAGGTGGCCAGGAGGCATCCTAATCAGATCCCCCAACCAGCTCAGCTGCCTCTTTTTGATGGTGAGGACTAGCATTGCTACTTACCCAAACCAAAAAGTCAGTGTAAATAGCGTTGTTTTTAGCCTTTTATTTATTTATTTATTTAAATTTAAATCATTACTATTTTTCAGTTTTCCGTCACAGTTTGGTTAAATCTACATTGTCATGTTCAGGGTTAGGTTAACAAACAAAGCCTTTCTGGCAGAAAGTCCTGAAGTACAAATTCTTCCATTATCAAAGTTTTCCAGTCTCCTTCGCCAGTCTCAAAGCTATGACATCACAACAATAATATTGTTGCACTGGAGAAACATGATGTGGGAAAAATGCCAACATGGCAACACCAGACTGTGGCTGTTATTCAACTAGCAGCTGATACTGGTTGGTACTCTGAGTGGAGGGGATAGTACTGGTGTCACGAGAAGGAAAATTGGATTAGTGCAAGAAAATGACATAAAATGCTGAGAAGTCAAGCCACTTCAGACATAGATGGACAAATTCTGAGTCTTACAAAGTATTTTTAATATCAATATCAGGAAAGATATCTTTGAGATATTAGAGGAGATGACTCATGTAGAGGGTAATTGTAATGCTGCAGTTAGATTCTGTGATGGAGCCATGTTATGCTCATTCTTTCTTTACATCGCTTTCTTCTCAAACTGTTCAGGTAAAAGTTTTTCATGTATCTCCATCACAGGGCCAAACTGAGTACAACTGCTAAAGTTGAACCACGCCACCTTTGTGGACATGATGGGATGATGGGATAAGCTTTCTGGTAGAGGTATCACATATAAGAGCGTGTCCCCTGTTACAAAACTGGAAAATTTGTTTGGTTTTCCCTTTAACTCTTATAAATGGATCTCACCACCAGTAATCAGCGGATTTTTGATTGAGATCAACTCCCAACTCGGGGAATTGTTTGCATGGTTTGATGGAGCTCTTACAGAAGCCATATGGTTCAAATTTCCATGCTCATGATGTCATTTTACCTTTTTCCTGCATGCATTTTCTTGCTTTACACTTTCCATGCCTTAAACTGTGCATTTCTGAGAAAGGTTCCTCGTGTATCCAGTTACATTAAGAGGAGAAAAATGTTTTGGTGTGAGTAAAATTGTAAAAATCATAATATGCCTCCATAAATTTTAAATATGTGGTTGTGGAGATGATGGATGGTCTATTTTTCCTTCCTCACACCAACCAAAGATCCCGAAAATAGCAGTCTGGACTGAAAATCTCCATGTAGCTGCATGTACCTCTGCTACTGTAACATTTTGTACAGAATGACTGTTGGTGTGAATCGATATTACCCCCGGTTTCTCTTAAAATTGGAGCTTATTACTGTAAGTGCCGTGCCACATATGGACTGAGCCTCATGATAAAATGCACAGAAATGTATGCAGATGATCTGCCGAACAGCTGTGCTGTGGGCCTGCTGCTGTGCTGGTTACAGTGTGCGACTTGAATTGAAGCCAGTTGTGTTTTATATGCAGCCATCCAGCTTCACAGCGCGTTCATAACGGTGTTTTAACCCGAAACACACAATAGCGTGTAATTAAAAAATATACGTTACCTTCCTCTCCATACTGATCATAAATTTCCCTTTTCTTCGGATCACTGAGGACTTCATATGCTTCGGCGATTTCCTTAAATTTCTCCTCGGCGGCTGCAGACTTGTTTTTGTCCGGATGCCATTTCAGCGCCTGTTTTCTGTAAGCTTTTTTTATATCCTCATCCGTGGCTCCTTTAGAGATACCCAGCGTTTTATAGTAATCTTTGCCCATTTTTAACCCACTTATCCCCCTATAAGAAAAATAATAAATTAACAAATAAAAAGGGGGCTAGAGCTCCTGGAGCAGAGCTGGTAGACTGGCCTGACGCGGGTCGGCGGATGGTTGTTACAGCTGACTAATAAACAATAAGTATCCGCAGACAGACACACAGTGGAGGATGAAGACCATTTAGAGGGGGTTAGTCAACGCCGTGGACCCTCTGTTATTTATCCGTGACTGGATGACCCTCTTTAAATAGACACGGCTCCCTCCCCTGTATCCACAGCGCCAAAGTCAAGTCAGACGCAATAAATAATTCTGGTTCCGGTGCGCTTGAGCTTCCAAAATTATGATGCATTAGAGAATGTCTTGTCTCTTGTATCAAATTATTTTTTTTCAAGAAAAACAATAAAAACTGCGAAACACGCTTCAAGATGAACAGGTGGGACAATTATTTTTGGACTGGAGATTAAAAAAAATTTTTTTTTAAAAATTAAAATTGTATACCTCCACAATTTACGAAAGATAGGGCATCGAATCACATAAATGGTTGTCCTGATACAAAAACAAGAACGAGACAGGAGTCCAAGAGCCGAAAATATCAAACTACAGTCAAACCAATACCCGATTTGTATTTTTGAGATGCACTCTGCTTACTGTAAAACCAAGTCATAAATTGTTACAGTTATTCAGTGCGGTACCCATGAAGTGAAAATCAATTATTATATGTTTATTGTGTTTGAATTCGATCTCGAAAGTGTTACCAAGCACACAGTTCTGCTGTTTATGCAGCACCACTCAAAATTTGAAACACACCTTCTCATTGTAGAGTTTTTCATTACTCTTATTGTTTTTCTACATTTTAAAAACATCTTGTATATACACGACTATAATGCTGGATATTCACATTAAACAAGGCCAAAGTTTCAAATAATGAGGTGATGTACAGGCAATCATGAGCCAAAAGCTCAGACTTCTGACTCCTCTAAATGCTCCGTTTCATACAGTTTTGTCTACTCTTGGCTCTTTATGACGTCACAGAGGGGGGAAACCCTTAATATGGTCTTCTCAGGCACAAAGATCAACCAGCTTCACCCAGGTTTAGACCCAGATTGTTGAGCTCTGGTTATGTGATGCTGATTCTTTATCCACTGAGCTGAATTGATGCATGTTGACGTGGGTTAAGTGTTACCTCTAATTCTAAATAAATCCCCAACAGTGCAGCAAAACATTTCCATGCCACCACAGCTCCTCCCCCAGGCCTCACAGTGAGAAGAGGAAATGCAGATCTGTTCACCTTCTCATAAAGCAACCTAAATTCATAAAGAAACCTACTGAGATATGTTTAATGTGAGGTGAATTTTATTAAGAAATAGAATAAATATAAGAAACTCCTTGAATGTTGTAGGTGTATATTTTTATTTTAGTTTCTTTTTTTTTCTTATAGAACATTTTTACTTGCCTTACATGAGAATAAATTGGTTTTATTTTGAAAAGCTGCTTTCCGGTATGAGTGGCAGTAAGTGGACGCTGTGGACTGGAATCTGGCGGCTTTTTCTAGAAAGTAAGTGGCGATACTCGTCATTCACCAAACCGGGGTCCTTTGCACATCATCCAGGTGAGAGGCGAAAAAAGACCAGTCACTGTGTTTGATGTCGTTTATAGCCATGACGTCATCGCACAAAACTGACAGCCAATGGGAAGCAATGGAAACTCTGAAACTCCCCATGCTTATCTGGAGGAAAATGTTGTATGTATATCAGATGACAAGGCCCAGGTAATAAATATCTTATATGTCAGTATCTTAACTATCCTATAACATTTGGCGTTTTCTTTAATTTTAACAAAACAGGAATGCGGGTAAAAATGTAAATAAAGACAATAAACACGTGGTACAATAAAATCACAAAACTATATTTAACCAAACTCTGAAATACTCCAATTCCCAAACTCACAGAAAATCCGTATTCAAGCAATTCATCGTTATCCTCAAGTTGTTTTCCTCCCTTTTACATGTAGCAGTTTAGGCTTTTTTTTTCTTCTTTTTTTTATCTGATGGATTACACCATCAGTCACTGGAGAAGAGCCACTGAAACCAAAGTCTGCTAGACTGCCTCCAACCCCCCGTGGATTGGTATGTGTGTCTTCCTCTGGTACTTAGCTCTTCCTGGACTGCAGACCTCTCAGATATTGTGTCTGGAATCTGCTGGAGCCACTCTCCCAGTTTGGGGGTTACAGGTCCTGTAATACTCCTGTAACCACTGGGACCACCCTGGACTCCTCCTTTCCTATCTGCTCCAGTTATTCAGTGCATTTGGTCTCCTCCTTTTAACTGGCACATCTATCACAACCGTAGTCTTCTGCTCTCTGTCATGACTCTGTAAATGTGTAATTTTTACAATAATTTACAATAATTTACTGGCAGCTGGATGACAGAATGTGTTGGATGGATGTGTTGTTGGTTGGACAGCAGTTGCTGACCTGTCTTCCACTGGGACTTGGAGACATTTCTGTGTACTATCCAAACCCAGTGCTTCTCTGTGTGCCAGCATGCATCTTACATGCTGCTACTAAGTGCAGGACTGTCTCAGTGGGACCTTTGCATTGCTTGCATCTTGGGTCCTATCGAGTGTGGCAGACGATTGCTTTTAGGCATCTGGTGCTTTGAGGCTCGCTGTTGTGATCAGAGCCTCTGTGCTGTGCTCGAGGTCAGCTTTTTCTAGCCACTGGTTGGAATTCTTGATGTCAGCAGTTTCCTTTATCTGCAAGATGTTTCTCCTTTTTAAAAAAATAAATAATACATTTTGTATAAATAGCACGCAGAAGATCACAGGTTCGAGGCCACTGTGTCTACTCCAGATGAAGGTGGCCTCTCCTGCAGCTACAGCGCCCCCTGGTGTTCCTTAGAGGAAGTGAGTTTTACAAAAACCGCTGATAGAAGCTCTCTCTCTGCCAGTGAGTCAGCGCCTCTGCAGAGCTGCAGGTCAATCATCTCTGGTGATAATGAATGAATGTTTTAAAATCTCCTTTAAAAGGTCCTGCAACGAATAAACGCTTTTAAAGCTTTTTTCTGTTTGCATCTGAAAAATTTTACTGCTTTTCTGCATGAACCATGGATCAGTTTCGTGGATTATTTAGTAAACTGGACCAAAATGAGGATGGATTCGTTTCTGTGGCGGAGCTACAAGACGAAATGAGGAAGCATGGTATTATTTCAGCGGATGGGAAGGTCCAGGTAACAAATATTCTTAATAGCATCTATATGCATCGGTATTATTATTATTTTTTTTTAAACCTGCTATTGAGAGAGCTGTTTTTGTTTCTTGTAGAGTATCGTCGAGTCTTATGACAGAGACAAAGATGGCCTGCTGGATTATCAAGAGTTCCTCAGCTACATGATGGACAGAGAGAGGAAGTGGAAAATTCACTTTCATGACCTTGATAAGAATAATTGTGGTGAGTTGAAAGTCTTACCGCCTTATAAGTGATACATTTCTGAAGGAAACATAAGAAAAATGAATGATACAAAATGAAGTATGTGTGGACTTCAATCAGTTTTTAAGATCTGCGCCTCCTGCTTTTTTGTCCTTTAGAGAACATAATGAACATAACTCTGCAGAAAGTGTGTTCTAACATGACTTTTTCTTGATAAACTGAATACATTTTTTTATTTTGTTGACGGTGAAATGTGTTTTCAAGGTCAGACACGACTGGCTGGCAGGCAAACAAAAGATCTGTTTATGGTACACAGACCTGCAGCATTTCAGGGACCATAGCACATCATATAGAAACTTCACTTATGAGGAAGAGCAGTATCTGTTTGTAATTTTGTGCATTTCTTCTTTGATCAGGATTCATTGACCAGGAGGACATCATATGTTTGTTTAAGGAGTTAGGAGTGGTCATTTCAAAGCCGAATGCAAAAAAAATTATACAAATGTAAGATTTTTTTGCCCACTACCTCATAGATTCATTGTTGTTTTTGAGTATATATGCATTTATACTTGGCATATAGGTTTAAAATAATTAGCATAATTAGCATTAAATAAAATATATTTAAGGCATAATCGTGATTATTTTGGGTTGCCAGATTAAACGAATGGTTAAAAGGATCCCTCAGTATGGACTCACTACCTGGCTAACCTGAACTTGTTGTATCTCTGAATTATAAATGATTATTACTCAGCTTGCTGTTTTGAAAATGGACAAATGATGTGATGTTAATACGGGATGTGAAAGCTTTATTTCCTGAAACTTGACAAGTGTCGTTGTCTTTGGCAACATCAGGATGGATAAGGACAACTCGATGACGGTGGATTGGGATGAATTCTTGCACCACATCATCCTCAACCCTGTGGATAACATCGGGGAGCTAGTGTCCTCATGGAAACACAGTTTGGTATGATCATTCCCATTATGCTTTACATTTACACAGCGATTAAAATGTCTCCTCAAAAGGTGATCAGTTAAGTCCTCCTGTTTGTACTCCTGCAGGTGTTTGATGTCGGGGAGAGCCGCGGGATCCCCATTGAGTTCCCTGAAGAAGCGTCAGGCTTCAGCGCTTGGAGGACATTTGTTATGTCAGCAGGACTGGCGGATGCTGTGTCCCGGACCATGACGGCACCCATAGACCGCCTTAAAACACAACTTCAGGTCAGCTCCACTATCACAAGGCACTGCAGACAAAAGGAAAAGGAAAATGTTTCAGAAACATCACACAAATTATGTAATAATTATTCAAGCTCAGAGGTTTTACAGAGTTTCTGACTACATCACTCAGCGTAACTATTATGTGGCGCTGGAAGACTCGCAAATTCTGTCAGGAAGAATTAGATAAACTACCAAAGCCCAGGTGCACAAAGCCTGTAGAGTCAAAGCTGTTCCTGCTGCAAAGAAATGGCTCTAAGAAATGCTTAAATAAAGGTTTGAATCATTTTGTAAAAGAGCCACTCATGTTTTAACATCGTGTCACAGTATAGATTAATAAGCAAATATGCTTCTTTTGTCCATCCATCCATTTTCTTAACTGCTTATCAAGGTTGCAGGAGAGCTGGAGCTTATCCTAGATGTACACCAGTGACCACAGACAGGTTACCAGTCTGTCACAGGGCTAACAAAGAGAGACAGAAAAAAACATTAAAGCTATTTAGCATTTTAAGATAATGTAAATTTTTGGGTTCCAGCTCCCCTGTGGCGCTGATATGGGTAAGCAGAAGACGATGGATGGATGTTTCGTTTCGGCTGTGAGCCCGGCCTAGTTTTACATTAGTATCTCTGGCTCTAAAGACAGTCTGTTATCAGCTTGCCTGCCTTATTTTTATGACCTGCATTCAAACTGTTGCTTTTATCTTGCTTTTAACTTTGTGTACCTATATTTATCCTAAAAGTGTTGCTGTTGTGACTGTTCCACATCACTGCACACCTGCACCTCACTGAAAATGACTCTCTGTCTCCACAATAGGTGTATGGATCCAAGGCCTTCTCCCAGGGTTTTCAGGAGATGAGAGGAGGTGGTTTGCGGTCAATGTGGCAAGGCAACGCTGTCAACGTGCTGAAAGGAACGCCACAGTCGACACTTCAGTGTCTTATCTACGCCCAGGTGAGGCTGAGCATTGAGCTGTTCGTGTACAGTTTCTTTTTTTTCGATTGATTAGCACACTCAGATGTCCTCTGCTCCGTTTAGATGAAGGTCTACACCCAAAACAGGACCCAGCAGACTCTGACGGTGCAGCAGCGTTTCGGGTTGGGCTGCATCTCTGGAGCTGTGGCTCACGCTGTCTTCTACCCCTTAGAGGTCAGATCAGTGGCAGATCTGAGTACTTTAACATTTCTGTCCTGAAGTGCAGATCACTGACTGTTTTAATTGTTACTATGTCATTGTTAGACTCATTATAAAGCCTTTTTATTATCATAAACAAATGAGTCAGTCTCTACAGTATCTCCAAAGAGAACAACACATGTTCCAATATTAATATTAAACAATCACCATGAGGAAGTGCGTGAACAACCACACAAATACTTTAGATGCTGGGAAACAGTGATCTTCATCTGTAATCTCATGGCCGTGAATAACTGTATTCTGTATTACTTTGAGGCTGATAAATCGCCACGGCAACGTGGAGTAAACAGGTGAGGAAAATACTAAAACTGAGCTTTTGCTTCTTACATTATGAGAAACTGGAGGATACTGTGTTATTCAACTCAATTTTTCCCCTTTATGCTATAACAACATTAAACTAACATTCTGTACTGAGGCCAGCGTGCTCTGATATTTTTAGGGGCTCTCCTTTGTTTGCGTTCATCACACTAAAGTCTCAAATAACCCCTCCACAGTCAGCAGCCCAAATAAAAGCAAAAATGTTACCACTGATGATATCAACATCATGTCAACACCATCTTATCAACAATAAATGTATTTTTTTAAAATTAAAAACAAAAACAAACGAGCATCATAAAACCAAAATGCACAAACTCTTCCTCCCATCCCACACAGAGCACGTGAATAAATACAAAAAAGATGCATGGTCGACAGCAAACCCCTGTTCCTCTAACTACTAACCTTTCTCTTTGTATTTCACTACATATTTTAATCTTTCTGGTTTTCTGGTGTTTTGAGCATGAGGTCATTTTGAGTTTGATAAATTATACAGCAGGTATTCTGAATCATAAACAGTTGATAGCACAGCAAATGGGTAAAATGGTATATATTCATACCCCCTCTTATTTCAGGACATGTATCTTTTCTGAATTACTATGTGCTACATAAACTTTTTTTCCCCTGTAGAAGTCTAGTTAACAGAAATGTAAAAGTCCAAAATCCCCAAATTATTACCAACATGGCAGGTTAGGGCTCCAGTCATGCCTAGAGACCAGTCAGCAACCAGTTGCTAGGAAAAAGCATTTCTTCTGCAGCCGTTGGTGAGTGGTTAGTGGAGGCTGCTAGCCATTCATAGTGAGTAAATGTTTGCAAACAGTTACACGATGCTGCACTGAAAAACTCCTTGCAATTGTTTGTATCACAAGAAGATCCTGAATTGTCTCCAAACAGTTGCAAACTACTCTCTAAGTGGTGAAGTTTTTTAAGAAGGGAAACTGTTCCCTTTTAATGTAAAAGTTGTGCTATGAGATATGTTTGTTGCAGCAATAAGGCACAGCTTTCCTTTTAATGGTGAATATTCTCTGTTTCTGGTTTGAGCTGCACTTTTAAAGTGCCACTTAAAACTCACAGAGTAACGAGGGCATGGGAAAATACCCACCCATCACAACGAGGGTTTTGAGCCAGCAACCACTTGCCAGTTGGGGAATATGCATTTTACGTAGCAACCATAAGGAACCAAAAGAAAAAAACATGAGGTAGGAAACAAGCAAAAGCAAAAATTTACTGCCAGACAAGTGTTTGGAGAATAGTTATACACTGGAAACATGTGACTGGAGAATTAGGTGAGGAAAAAAGGTTATGATCTCTGTGGCTGTGAAGCCCCACTGCTACTCAAAGCAAACCTGAAGAAAGCTGGTTTAGAGGCTGAGGAATTAAGGAGTCTTGTTTCAGACAATAGATGAACTGACAGGCTTCACCAAAGTCCAGCATAAGCTAAACTGTATGATAATGTAAAATTTGTTTAATCACTCAATGCTGCTCTAGTAGAGTCCAAGAATTGAGACTAATAGACCCACTTTAATTTATTAGTGGGGATCTCTTTTAGCAGTCTCACTCTCCTCTTGTTTGCTCTACAGGTGCTGAAGGTGAGGCTGAACCTGCAGCAGGCTGGCACTTACCATGGCGTTGCAGTGTGTGCCCGATCCATTTATAGAAGTGAGTCTTTGTCTTCCTTTTACAGAGGATTCAAGCCCAGCATCCTCTGTATGATCCCCTATGCAGGTGTGGAGTGTGCTGTTCATCAGGTGGGCCAGAAGACAACAGAGATCAAGTGAACTTTTATTTTGAAAAGATGCTAATTGCTTATTTTGTAATTGCAGTCAATCATGAGCTGGGCAAAAAGCGATCCCGCCTACAACAGTGACTCCAAACTGTTTTTCTTCAGCTTTGTGGCGTTCGCTTCTGGACAAATCACCAGTTACCCGCTGGCGGTGATCCGAACTCAGCAGCAAGCGCAGGGTATCGGCTCTCATTCATTCGGCACAGTTTACAGTTTCATATGAAGCTTTTATGTGGGAATGTTTTACTCATGTTTGTTTGTCTTGTCCTTCAGCTTTCAGATCAGATTCACGGCCAGCCTCGGGTGTATTACCGGGACTGATTGGGATATATGAAAGATATGGAATTAAAGGATATTATAATGGCATGGGAGCCAGCTTCGTCAGGGCGATACCGTGTGCCTTAATGAACTACACTCTGACTAGAAAATTTGAAAATGTTTTTTCCTCCTTGGAGTCTTGAGGAAATTAGAAAAAAAGCAAAAGCTGTGAGTTTTATTTTTGTTAATTATCCAAACACATGTCTGAAAAAAATGCCTGAGATGTGAAATGAGGTCAATCACGAAGTTATGGTTAACTCTGCAGGATTTGCTTTGTTATATTTTCTGTTGACCACGAGCATGGAACCATAATCTGACTGACTTTAAATATGTAATAACCAAGAGTAACAGCTGGCTACTCGACATGCTCTTTTAAAATAAGAAAATATGTTTTTGTGTTGACTGTATAATAAAATGATACATCATAGCATGAATCAGATAGTGTTCATCTGTAATCCTAGTGTCAGTGCTGAGCCTGGATGAATGGGGGAGGTCGCACTGGGGCTGGGGTTAACAACGATCACCTCTGGTTCTGCTGGCCAAAAGCACGCTGATAGAAACTGTGCTACTGTTGGGAAAAGACAAAGGAAGAGGCGACGGGGAAGCCATGTTAGGAAGCAGCGAGAGAGGAGGATGGAAGAAAAGAGAAAGACTAGAGAGAAAATTCAGTGATGTAGTGAAGGACCTGCTTAGGGTTGGTGTGACAGAGGAGGATGGTAGAGATGGGGATAATGAGATATCTACATTTCTATACATTTACAAAAGTGATCATTTTCAATTTAAGTGTGTGAATCTCAGGAGTAACAGATTTAATGTCATGTTTAAAATAAAGATTTAGGAGTTAAAGTCTTCTGGAAGAAATCTTTTTCAGGTTTTGAAGACATTTACCTGAAAGGACTCTTCAGCTCTAAAAGTCAGTCTCAGATATTTAACCCATAGTGCCGTTGTCACGCTGAAGTGGTCGTTGAGAGTCGCTGATCCATGCCTTGATCGTGTGAGTCATTAAGGGTCACATAGGCCAAGTGAATTCTTTGTGAGATCATCCTTATTGAGGGAAATGGTAAAGCCACACAGAGCAAACAATATACTCACCAACAACAATGCTAATATATAAAATAAAATTTCATATGTCACAAAAAAAAAAAGATGAGCACAGTGAAGTTTTGATCCATCGCACTCAGGTTATAAGATTTCGACGTGACCAACAAACTCCATGGGAAATTTTGTCCATGTTTATAGTGCAAAGAGCTTCTCCTCTGAGATTTCGTTGGGATTCATTGGGATTTCGTTATAGCTGGCACAGAACCTCAACCTTACTGAATATTAAATAATAGTATTTTATGCCATGAAGATTCAAGCAACTTGTCTTCATAAACAAAAGACAACATTGCATGTTACTAAAGAAATATTATTATTAAGTTATTACTGATTTAAGTGCAATTGTTGGACTCTGACAAAGTTAGGGAGGCAAAACTGAGATGGTTTGGACATGTGCAGAGGAGGGATAGGGAATATACTGGACAAAGGACTTTGAATGTGGAGCTGCCAGACAAGCGAAAAAGAGGAAGACCACACAGAAGATTTGTGAATGCGGAGAAGGAGGACATAGAGAGGGTTGGTGTAACAGAGGAGGATACTGGGGGTGGATAGGAGAGCAACCCCTAAAGGGAGTAGTCGAAAGAAGACTATAATTGTTACACAAAATGGGCCGTCTGGTGGGCTGATTCTCCTGCAAAGCATAATTTGACATCCCCTCGCTGCAACCTTTGCACACAGTCAAACACAAATGATGAGCTGCAGCAGGTCTATTGCATGTGTAAAATTAGATTTGTATCCCTGTAAAATGCGGAAACTCTTTATAAAATAGCATATTTTAACCCAGAAGTTTACATTTATTTATTTATCACGTATATGTGGTGGAATAGAAGCAAATAATACTACCTTTCAGGGGAATATTGTTTTTTTCTTCACTACAATGAATGTAGTAACTAATTACAAAGTGAAATTAATGAAAATAAATATAATCAGTTTGCTTTTTTTTTTAAAACTGAAGCTTAAAATCAGCCCCAATTATCTATCAGTTATTGTAAACCAGTGTTAAAAGTGATATTCTGAAACATGCTGTTGAACACGATAAGAATGTTTAATTTTTTCGCTTTTATGTTCATATTTTTTTGCACTTTTACTCAAGTAAAATTTCAAAAGAAGTATTTCTACAGCAGTACATTTCAAAGATCGTCTGATACTGATTCCTGCTCCAAATCTCCTCTGGTGACACACGTGAGGCCGTTATCGCGAGAGCAAACACTGGCCCGCGAGTTTCTCGTGTCTCCCACCACCTCCCGTTTGTGAGACCGAGCCGCCATCTTATCGCGCCGAGGAGGAGAAGAGCAGCAGCAGGCAGATATGGCAGACTACAGCAACGTGGCTCCCCCGTCCTCAAACGCCGGTGGCGGCATGAACGACGCTTTTAAAGACGCTCTGCAACGAGCACGACAGGTGAGAACACGACAACGGAATCACTCGGGCTAAAAATATCCCGCAGGCCGGGAACGAATTGCGAGTTTTCGGCGCTTTCTGTCGTTGTGCTCTGAAGGTAGCTGAGCTGAGCTAAGCTAACGTTGCGTTACTCTGAAAACGAAAACAAACGGGAAAACACAACAGATCGCAGCTTAGAGTGGTTAAAAAAATAAGATAATAATTGTATAAGTTAAATGCAAGCTGGTGTTTTTGTGTTGTAGCAAAATTAACCGATTTGCTAAAGTGAAATCTGAAGCTCCCCTTTGTTGGACTTCCGGCTAGGACAGTAGGCCGCAGGCAGCACGCCTCTCCTCTCCAAACGCACCTTAAGAGACACGAACAACAAATACATGATCTCGGGAGCTCACGTGTTCTCTTGTTGCTTCATTTTTTGCTTTCAGATCGCAGCAAAGATTGGCGGGGACGGAGTTGCGGCACCCCCGACAAACGAGTTCGGCTACGGGGGCCAGAAAAGGCCCCTGGAGGACGCTGGTGGGTATTTTCCCATGCCTAACCTGAATATCGGTCAGTGGCTCAAATCGATCTCAATGCAAGTCTTTCTAGTTAATGCCTGCCTTTGTGTTTCATTTTTTAGCAGCTGCTGAAATGCATTTATTCTGTTTTAACGTCCATAACCCAGCATTAAATCTGTTTTTTTTAATCGTTTTTTCCTCTCAGTGTGAATTTTCACCTTTAGATCTAACACTGTACATTATTACTAACCAGTTAAAAGGCAGCAGTATGTTGCACATGGCATGTGTTTAGGGTGATGGTTTTACCTTATCTTCTAATGTCTTGTAAATATTTTAATGTGTCAAATCATTTTTTTTGATTGAGTGGACCAGACTGGAGGCAAATATTGGTTAAGGCGTGAGTGGGTGTAATTAGTTTTACTAGCCTATAAATAGGTTAAGTAGGTGTTTTTTGGTGGTTAATGTGGTCCAAAATGAAAGCATGACAGAGTTTCCAGTTTGCTTGGTTCACACATGTACTGATTATAAAGTCTGGGAAAAGATTGGGGGGGAAGAAATCATGGTTTTAATTACATTATAATGCTTAATCTGGGTTTATTTACTTTCTCTGGGTTTGGAAACTTAACATAAAGTAAAAAACAAACTGTACTTCACAAAGAAATAAGACCAGTTACACACACAGTTATTAACTCTTAACTTCCTCAGCATTCAAGTTGTTGGAGTATGCGCCGACCTGACGTGTAGTTGTTGTATGTAGAAGGTTGGGGCGTAGGGTTAAAATGGAGTTCCAATAATTACGTTGTAGCTCTGGCACGGAAGTATGATTTATGTGCAACTGAAAGCACCTTCAGGACACTTGGATCTAACGCTGCTTTGTATTTGCCTCAGATCTTGGCGCTGGGAGTGACACTCCTGAGTTTAGCGCGTTCCACTAGAGAAGGCTGAAAAACAGGATTTGTTTTGTTCCTCAGCAAGACAGAGCTATTAACACATTACTAGCAGTGCAGCACAGTTCTTGTTCTACTTTTGTTTTGGGTTTTTCTTCCTCACTTAAAAAGTGAGTTGCAGCATGTTCCTGTATAGACGCTGGTCACTGATCTCAGCATGTCTTATTTAGCGAGTCGCAAATACACAATGATGATTTACAGATTATGACTTTTACAGCTTTTCTGTTGCTTATGTTCTCTACCCTCATCTAAGATTGTTAAATCGGGGTTAGTGGGACATCTCAGGATTTCTGAGTTGGAAAAACAATTTGGGGGGTATTCTTCTGAAAAATCTGACATCCTGCTTGAGAGGTATAATTGAGGTATAATCGGGTTATAGGCACTGATCAAGTCAGAACTGGGGTTAACAAACCTTTGAGAGCTGAACAAAAACAGGGACTTCAATAGTGATTTATTTCTAATTTGGAGCCAATGAATTGACTTCATTACTGAGTTAATAAGTGCAAGGACTCTGGCTGCTTGAATAATCTGGCAGATAGAACATTACAGTGTAGCTCTGTGTTGCAGAGTATTGTTGAATTATGTTAAACAAAACTGAGGATTTAGCATCAGCGTTGAGTAGGACTAAACATCTTCAGATAGGATATCAAGCCAAGTATGCATGCAGGAAGCTGGCAGATGAGCGTCTAATCCAGCTGTCTGAACTGTTTAAATTCCACGTAGTGTTGACAAATGAGTTTTAGATGTGTAAAATCAGTTTGTTTTTTCTTTGATTGGGGGGAGCTAATAATGTGATGTGGCATGGGAATAATGAGAGGTACTTACACTGGCTATGTCATTTTTTTCACAGACCAACCAGAGACAAAGAAAGTGGCTACAAATGATGGTAAGTTAACTGAAGGTGCAGTTGTATTTACTACTTTAAAAAGGCCAAATATGTGCAAGAATGTGAAATTTGGTTCTTCAAAATTGTATTTTATTTTATTAAGTCTTCTTTTGGCTAATTGGTCGTCTTCTTGCAGCCTTTTCAGGTATTGGAGGAATGGCTGGTCCCCCAAGGTAAACGGGCATTATCAATTTAAACATGTTCACATACTGTGCTTGGCTTCATTGTATTATAAAGTTTATGTTGATTAATCTCCCGTTATCCTAAGGTCAACATCAGAAGAATTCAAGGTCCCAGATGGCATGGTTGGCTTCAGTAAGTGTTTGTTTTAAAAAAAAAAACAAACAAACTCCAAAAAGCATAACTTCTGTGCTCTTAGAATTTGATATTTATACTTGTTTTTTGTCATTGCCTGTTCTAGTTATTGGAAGAGGAGGTGAACAAATATCACGTCTCCAGCAGGAGTCTGGGTGCAAAATACAGATTGCCCCTGGTAGGTTTGGATTTGCTGCCAGTGCTGAGAAGTCGGAGCATACCAACTGTTTTTGGAGGGTTTTGTGTTTACAGTGTCTTCTCTCTTGTAGACAGCGGAGGGATGCCA